TTTGCCTTTGGTGCAGTTAACAGGCTTGGCTGGTCTCTTTTAGGGGGGACACACCACTGTACAACTGCTGCCAGCTCAGCTTCTCCCCAGGTGACCGCAGGCCTTCCTGAGGGCCATGTAGCCATGGCGATAGCCCAGTGTTGGCTCCCAGACCAGGAGCTGGAAGTGGCTGGGGAGCTGGAGAGAGCGGTGTTGCTGTTGGCAGACAGGAACACTCCTTTTTCCTTGCATAAGGGCCACCATGCCATCTTGGGCTTGGCCTACGTGACCTCCATGCCATGGAGCCTCAACCCCAAGGCCCTGCAGCCAGGGAAGGAGAGGGAGGGATGGAAGGAGGCTGAAGCTGTGGTTTCTAAGTCTCTTAGGGCCCACAAACAAACACAGGCTCACTTCATGGGCTTTTAAAGTTTTTTTTTTAAACAGTCTGGTCCCTGATGGGGGGCCTCTCTGCTGCCCCTCCCCAGTTTGGCTACAGTTCTGAACGACGCTCAATTTTGAGCAGCTCCACCTCGAACACCAGGGTTGCACCACCTGCAGGGGAGAATTGGGGTCAGAATGAGAACCAGGGCCACAGGGAAGTGGAGTGGGTGCAGGAGACAGAGGGCAGGAAGGTTAATTACCTGGAATCTTTGGGGGAGCTCCCCGCTCTCCGTACCCTGTCAAAGAAGTAAAAGAAACAGTGAGCTGTGGCCAGGCAGAGGTGTTCTGCAACAGCCAGGCCTCTGCCCATCCCAGCAAGAACATCAGAAATGGATAAGGTGTAATGGGGATGGGAAGGGGCTGTGAAAGATCTGGTAGAGGGCAGAGGGTGGCACCAGAGCCCTGTCCTCATTGCTAGACACAGCTAGACTTGCAAGAGGCATGTGTTGAATGGATTGAGTGGAAATCAATGCAGAGGCTGAACCAGCCTTCACCCTTACCCAGATACACCCCCAAACTCCTCTACTCCCCCTCAGGAAGGGCCTCTTACCCAGCTCGGATGGGATCACCAGTTTCCGCTTTTCCCCCTCACACATCCTGCAGAACAACGTATGTTCAGCATATGGCAACACCAGGTTCCCTGCTCCTCTACCCCATCCCTGGGACTTGCCTCCCACAGTTTACATCCTGGACTACAGCCATGGCCCCTTGACTCACCCTAGCAGCCCCTGGTCCCAGCCCTTGATGACCTGGCCTGTGCCCAGGGAGAAGACAAAGGGCTGGTTCTGGGGCAGGCTGCTGTCAAATTCCGTCCCATCTTCCAGCTTCCCCTGTAAGACCATGGAAAGGCCAGTGAGGAGGAGGGTCTGCTCTGACATCCCCACCCCGAGGTGCTTTTCCCATCAAGATGGCCCTCCAGCATCCGTGGCCATAGACCTAGAAGGGGACAGGACCTTGGGCAGCTCACAATTACACTGCCACTGCCTGCTGATGCCACCCTGGGGAGTAGACAGTGAACAGCAAGATAGAACCATGGAAAGTGGCAGGTGAGACTTGCCCAAGGTCACCCACCTTGTTGGCAGAGGAACCTGGCTCCCAAGTCTTTTCTGGTTCCCAGAAGCCCCACCGGCCCCCCAAAGCTCCATTCCTCACCCACCGTGTAGTGCATGTGCAGGACGTCCCCCTTGCGCGATTTGATGGGACAGTGGTCTACCCGCTTCTTGACCCCGATCTGCAGCTTCCGTTTGCCCTCGGCCCCAGCAGCCGTGACCAGGGCGCTCAGGCAGATGGACAGTACTGTCAGGACCCAGCTCAGCCTCATGTCTCTGTGGGGACAGACCCCGACCGACCAACCGGGGAGGAGGGCGGGAAGAGTATGGAATACAGGCAGGTTCTAGTAGGATTCCACCCCACCATACCTTGCCTGCCCCTGGGGATCCCCTTCTCCCGGGTCACCGCCCCCTCCCCCAGGCTCCGCGGCCACACTTACCAGTCCAGTGAGAAGGGGGCTTGCCCGAGGACCCCAGCAGCGGGGGGAGGGGGTCAGGGGAGGCCACAGCAGCCAGGGCCCCGCCCCTTTGCTCACCCCCAGCCATTCCTTCCCTCCCGGTCCCCGGCTCCGCTCTTCAATTCCCACTCGTCCCTTTCCGCAAAGTCCAGACCCTATCTGGCTGCACAGCAGTTGCCCCAACCGGGCGACCCCATTCACGCCACACCCAATTGCCCCCCGCCCAGCACACCCACAAGTCTGCGGCCGCCGCAGGGGGCCGACCTCGAGGCACCCACACATCGCCACTGGGTGGCTCTGAGGAGCCCCGGTCCTCCGGGGGTACCCCCCAGTCCGGCCCTGTGCCTCCACCCGGGACGCCGCCCCAGCTCTGAGCCCTTGGGGGCCGGCGGGGAACCCAGATTGGTCCCGTGTCGGGTGGCTGCCGGGCCCGCTCCACCCACACCACCTCTCCTGGGGGAGTTCTCGGCCTGCCGCGTCCCCAGGCCCGGCCACCACGGAGACCGCCCCCGCGTGGGCGCCCCGGGCCATTACCTGCGCCTACCCCTTCGCTTGACTCCTTGGCCCCACCCTTTAGAGGGCGCAGTTCCGCCCCCGGCCCTGGAGCCCCGCCCCCAAAAGAACTGGATCCCTTTTCCTGAACTGTAGCCACGCCACTCACCAGATGAAGTCCCGCCCCCAGCGCCTGGGCGCCTTCCCCCTCGGTCTCCAAACCCGAGACTCCTCCTTCCGTCAGTTTCGGCTCCTCCTCCAAGGACCAGGCTCCACCCCCAACCAGTCCTAACTCCGCCCCCAGCCCCGGAGCTCCGCCTTCCACTAGCACCAGTTCTGAGGTCCCACCCCTCTCAGTTCCACGTCCCGCCCCGACTCCCGGAGCCCCGCCCCGTGCGGCGTGAGAACCCTTCCCCTGCGGCATCCCCAGACAGCTCTGACCCCCAGCCCCCAATTTCCTCGTAACCTATCCCTCGTTGACACTCGGAGTTCCGGCCCGCTCCTGTCCCGCCTGATCCAGCTTGCCCCCTTTGCACCCCGGCTCCCTCCAGCCCGGGCTGTGGCCCCCGCTCACCTCCTCGCCGCGCCCCCGGAGCCAACCCCAGTCGTGCTGCCGTCTCTGCGCAGGCGCGTCATCGTCGCCAACGCCGGGCCACGCCGCCCGCCTTCATTGGACGGTGCGAAACCCACTGCCACACGCCCGCCGGGGCGGCTTCTTCTTTAGCTCCGCCCCCGCACCCACCGCCTTGTGACTTCTACGTCACGTCCGGTGAGTCTATAGTCCGTAAGGTTAGGTGAAAGTGACTTCCGAAAGGGCCGAAGGTACTTCCGGCTGAGGTGAAATTAAGGTCAGGCGGGCGCAGGTTCCCGGAGGGGGCCTTGAGATGCCATTTCGTGTTGCCCCCAGCCTTTCCCATAGCGTTCCTGTTGCCCCTGGGCCTCTTCATTATCTATAACCCTCAGTTAGTTGCTGTGGAAAGAGCCTGGGCCTCAGGGTGAGGCCTGTTTGAATCCGTGGTTTGCCACTGACTGGCTGCGTGACCTTGAACAGGTTCCTTGTCCTATTAGGGTTTGGCAGCCCTATAACTTGGGCTTGCTAACATCCACCCCACAGGGCCCTTGTAAGACTGCAGCAGTAATGTGCATCACCAGGCCCTGGCTGGCAGAGAATACTCTCTTCTCTTTCAGAGCATCCAGGCCTGACTCAACCTGCCACACTGACCCCTGAGTCATGACTGTTAACAGTCTGGCTGGGTCAGTTCCCCAACCAGACTTATTTTCAGGCGCCTCAGCACCCAACACTTTAAATCTGTCCATTGAAGTAATGAACCTTCATTCAGGAAGGGAGGCAGCTAAACCTAAGCAACCTCAGCAAACCTGAAGTTGGTCAGCCTTTCTGAATCTTATTTCCTCAGTTTTAAAAAGGAATCTAATTGCAGCACTGACCTCAGGATTGAGGACTAGGCGAGAGAGAACACCATCTGAAGCATTGTGCATGATGAGCAGTAACTGGGCTTGGGAGGCGATAGCTCTCCCATCTCTAACCTTCATCTGTCTCACTCTAATTGAGCACTGGCATTTTTGGTGACAGTATGGCTGAGAAAACGTCTTGAAAATAGCAATTACTGTCAGGAATTGTCTCTCCTGGTTTAACCCCTCTTGCCCTGGACCCAGCAAGACCACCACCACACTGTCTAATCTAGCACCTCAGAGAAGCCCTCTGTTAGGGTAGCTGCTTTTGGTTAACCTCTTCTCTAAGTCTTATGCTTCAGCAGGCAAAGCACGGGTACCCAAGGTTGGCCTTCAGTCCACCCCATCACCACTCAGCCCTGGGGGCACTGGAGGCTTCTGCAGGCAGAAGGCTGGTCACTAAGCTTGGACTGCATTAGATAAAGATCAGGAGAATCCCAAGGTGCAAGGGAGGTGAGAGTGGAGAAGGCTGTGGTTGGGGTGTGGACCTGTCTCCCAAACCAAACCCACCAGCCACAGACCTTTGGTGTTTCCCTTTCAGAGGAGTGGGAGTAAGATGGGGACAGCGCAGGTGCATGGCTTTTGAATTAAGCTACAGGGAGCAAAAAGCTGCAAATAGAGGGGAAGATGGGTGTTCTTTTCTATTACGTGAGGACACTAACCTTCTTGGAGCCCAAGGGTCCAGATCACAGTAATCATCTGTTCCTGCCATGTGCATACGTGGGAATTGAGGCTCAGAAAAAGAGGGGCAGTGACAACCAAGATCATTCAGCAGATCTGGGTCCCACCTTAAGCTCACTGGCCGTAACAGGCTGTCTCTTTCCAGAAAGGAACCTTTGTGATGGGTAGGGGGGCAGGGACTCTCCAGGGCCTTTCATCATAGTGTGAATGTGAAGGATGCACCATTGTGGCTCTGTGAGCTGTTGTGGGGCCTTGGGCTTCATCTCTTCCAAGCTCTACATCTAGAAAGCAGTGTGAAGCAGATATTCATGCCCAAACCAGCCAGCCTGTCACCAGGACAGTGACAAACAGTGACACAGGCAGGGACAGCTCCTTCCATCTCTTTTATCAGGGTTGGGGTTCACAGTTCTTATAATGAAGACCAAGTCCCAGTTTTTGCAGAGTATCAGGGTCTTCTTAGTGAGGGGACGGAGGAGCCAAGTGTAAGATGCTCACTTGCACAGGTAGTTAAAAATTGAGACAGGAATCCATTCTCTCCCAAGTTTGTACATGACCCCTCTTGCTGCCAAGTCTCCTCATCCAACTCTGCCCATGTTGTTGGATGGCAGCCTCGGAAAGACAAAGGACGGCCGGAAAGCCCTTTGAGAGGCCCAGGTCCTCAAGGAACTTCCACCCAGGCCGAGGTCTTGGGGGCTGGACTGTTCTCACCAGGCTGCCCTTGTCCCCTTCTCAGGGGGCCTGTGAGGCAAGTGGCCCCTGTGAGTCTGAAAAGCAATGTGTCACCTTCGCAGCTTCCGGCACCTAAGGAGGGAAAGAGTCTGTTCGTGCTGGCACAGCTCAGCCCCTGCTCATAGACTCACCCCCTTGTTACCTTTTGCAAGCCCCATTCTCCCCTACCAGTCCTGGGAAGCCCCAGCTGGCCTGGACCACAGGATGCCACCCCATAGCCTCGCTGTGGGAGGGGTGGTAAGAAGCACCTTGGACGAGGGCGGACAAGGGTTCCCCTACATCCTCTAGTCTCTCAGGGCCCATAGGCAGAACAAACGTCTGCCACAGGGATTTCTGGGAAGGCTCAGAGCTTTGCGAACTGGAAGGCTGTCTTTCTTATTTTTACCCTCGGCAGATGTCACCTCTTCCAGGACATCTCTGACCTCTCAATGATGATGTCAGGTGCGCCTTAACACAGCTCTTGACTTGACATCCTCTGCTGGCAATATGTGCTCTCACGTCGGACTCCCCGATTAGAACATCGGCCTTGTTTATGCTGATGCCAGTGCCAGCACACACTTGGTCAATATTTGTTCAAAGCTTCCCATTCCCTGGCTCTTCTCCCACCAGCAGGCTCACCTGGACCTGCTCCCGGACAGGGCCTTGACGCCTTTCCAAACAACCGCCCTCCCTGACTCCTCACCTGCAGGTGTCTGGGTTGAGCTCTAAGCCCCGCCCTTGACAACGGAGGAAGCTGCGGCGTCGGCAGCGGCAGCGGCAGGTCCGGGGGTCAGGGCGCTGGCGCCGCTGGGGGCAGCGTGGGCAGAGGGGCCTGGGGCTGGAGTGGGATGGGTGATGTCAGCTGGGGAGGGTGCTCCGGGGACAGGGTCCCAGCCCGGAACAGAGCGGGGCTGGGGACGGTGGTGGGGAGTGGAAGCCCTAGGAGGAGAAGCAACATGTCTGGGGTGGGAAGGAAGAGTCTTCCCGGGAGCTGGGGTAGGGGCAAAGCATACAGACTTGGGGAGCAGAGGAAATGGGGAGAGGAGGATACAAGTGGGAGGAGAAGGAGGGAAGGGGATCACAACTTCCTGACACACTCGTACACCCCCTACCCCACCCACAAATTACATTCTGGACACTGGGCCTGGGCTCCAATCCCACCTCAGCAAAAGCCCAAGAGACTCACCTGTCCAGCTTCACAGCACTCTCTCTTTTTTTTGGTCTGAAAATCAAGAGACAGACAGAGACAAGGAGGAAATGGATCAGGACGCCAAGCATCCCACTCTTGCCCGAGATCCCAGGCCTACCCAGCTCTACTCTAGGAAACCTGGTCCCCACTGTGGTGTACCACCACACACAGCATCCCCCCAAGCCTGGTCTCTGTGAACTCAGAAGTGGGGCCTGGCTGGCACCTGCATTCACATTGGCTGTGTTCTTCCAGGGACATCTCCCCCAGCTGACTGCTCGGGTACCGGATCATGAGGATCTGTACTCAGATGAACAAGGAGAGAGACAATGAGAGGGAATGGAAGGGGACACTCCATGGATTGGAGGAGTGAGAACACCCTGCCCACCAGCCAGGGCTCTAGTGCCACCCCTCTGTCCCCAGAACACCAGCATCCACCCCAGCTGGGCACACTCCACCTCCCCTATACCTGCATTCTGACTTGGTGCTGCCCAGTGGGCACGCACTCCAGGCCATCGTCAGGGCAGCAACCGCCGCAGCGCTGCACAGTCACGCAGCTGGGCACCAGCTGCTTGGCCACAGTGCCCATGAGCTCCATGGACAGGGGCACCACCACCTCCCGCGGCTGGCAGGTGGCACGAGCATACACGTCTATCCATGACACCACTGGGGGCAGATGTGCAAGGGTTAAGTCCCTACTGGGTTTCCTGCAGCTGCTCCCTGATTCCCCTACCCCTGTTCTCTAGCAGCTGTTCTCCCTAGTTCCCATGTCACAGCCACCCTCCAGTGGCCCCCACTCTTGCCCTCCCAAACTATCTTCCTTGCCTTCTTCATTCCCGAACCCAGGAACCCCACTGCCTCAATCTCCTCTTCTATGAAATGGGCAGAATAAGGGCTTGCATCTTACAGAGGGGCTGTGATTACACAAGATGAGAAACACACAGAGTCTGGCATCAGGGCTGAAGGCAAACATTCCTAGCGCTGGCTAGTGCAAAGTTATTGTTGTGACTCTTACCTTTCTTCTGGTGGCCAGAGGGATCAGGCTGGGAGACAGTGGCCTGTAGGAAACAAGAGACCTGGACCTAGGTGCACCATAGGAAGGGCTAGCCCTGTCGCTGTCTCCAGGGCTCTGCCCTTGCGATCAGGAGGCTTCCACTCCTCTCTAACATTTTTCCAGACTGCTCTGTTCCTGGGGCCACTCTAGCTTTACCTGTCCTCTCCTGGCCACCTGGGACCTGCCCTGGCCACGATCTGCCAGGCGCGCTCTGCCCGCAGCGTCGAAATCTCCAAGCCTGGGGACCGGGCTTGTTCTCGAGGCCGCAGGTCAGGAGGGGGCACCGTGGGCGCCAAGCCGAGACCTGCAGGCACC